CCCCAAAACCCCAAAACCCCAAAACCCCAAAACCCCATGAAGGCATAAATATGATATTTTTAGAATTAATTAAGATATTCTAAGGATATTATATAAATTACTCATAATCTTGAAGCTTACTTGAGATAAAGTAAATGCTAATCAATTGAGATTGTTCAATAGGTTTACCTATGTGTCACTTATTTTTTGTGATATCCCATCAACCGGACTTCCTTGCCTTGAATTCTAAACTTTCTCAAGATACTTCTTATAGAGTTCTTATCTCTCTTCAATGTTAATTTTCTTAAGTTTGAGATTTTTCTTTGACATCTCCTCTTAAATTTTGAAATTTTCTTTGCTCTTTTCAGGACTAGCAACGAAAGAATCATCACTTTTAATTCTTGGTTATGACAATCTGAGATTAAGAGTTTTTTAATAGGTAGCAAGTCTATTGATTTGAGATTGCTTTGGGTTATCCTGGACGATGGTAGCTGCTGCCAATGAATTTCTTGACTAGTTGAAGCTCTAAGTGTAAAGGCCTTAGTTTTTAAAGTAAGTCTAGGTCATGCTCATCTCTTTATTTACATTTCTTGGCATTGATAGATTTTTCTGAAGGATCATTTAAGTGTTACTTTTTAATGTATCCTTCATTTGAGGAGATTCTAAGTGGATATTTTCATACTGCTTGTTTTCATTTTTGATGTCCTCAATAATGATGTTGTTTTGGGAGAGAATGTTCTTAAGACTTAGCATGTGGGTGCTGTTAGGCTTGAAGTTTGAAGATTTTCTTTTTTACAGGTAAAAATCATTTCTCTCATAAGATCTCAAAGATTGCTTGAAAGCTTCTCTAAATTCTGAATGCTTGCCTGAATTTTAGTATCCTCCGTTTCCAGTACTAGATGTAAGTTAATATCAATTAAATTTTAGCAAAGTGTAAATTGAAAAGAAATCTTACATGATGTAGGAGTCTCTGCCACTTCCGTCATGTCTGTAGTTTACTGCTCTCGAATGGATAACAGGCGATTTCTCATTCTATCTCTTTAGTACATTTGGTAAAAATGTCCCTGGCTTATCATAACTATTAGGCTAATATTGAAGTGAAAAACCTCCGTTGTCATTGAATATGTAGGTGTCACGACCAGTTCCATTGGTCTTATAGATTATGCCGCGATCTTGGATCATTTGAGTCTTGGAGAGGCCGGGACTTTGAAAAGTCTTGCCTAAGCCCCCTGTCATTGTGGAAGTAAACATTTTTATTTCTAATAAATTAAAAAAGTGATAAAATATTATATAAATTTATATCTCATAGAGGGTATGCATTGAGAATTATAAAATGGAATTAAATTAAGCAATAAAGTTTTCAGATCATTTCAAGAAAGAACAAGTCTAGAAGAAGCAAGACAAATTTATCGATGAGAATCGAGCAAGAGGCATTATTATAAAATCCCTATATTTCTCAAAAAATGACAATCAATTTCATAACGATGTCAAGAAGCATTTAGCTTACGAGCATGTTCTTTTCTATTTGGACGAAGATAAAAATTTAGCACATAAAATTAAGCAGGACACTTAATTTTCTATGGATGATTACCATATTAGAGAGGAAATAAAGTAGATGAAAAATGAAATAAGGTAGCATAGAGCGCTTAAAAATTTGATGAGTATAGTTTAAAGAGATGAGAATGGGAATCCAGTCGAAGGCGAAGATGTTGATGGACAATAAGAGCAAGAAGATTATGATGACTTTTCGATGTCAGTGTCTTTTGACTATGGTTACAATGACGAATATGGAGTTAGAGATTATGAAGGATATCAAATGGAAGACCAAGATGTAGAAAATATAATTGACTTTTAGAGAGATAGAATTGCTGAAATGAGAGAAGAAGATGAAGAAAAATAACAAGAGCTATAGTCACTGCCCGCAGGAATCATTTGAATATATGAGTTTGTGGTAATATTTTAGTAATTAAGGCTTTAATTATGAAATTAAGAAATTGCTTTGGATAAGTAATTAAGTTTAATCATTTAGCTTTTCTAAGCATCATTTGCCGAAAGCGTTTAGAGCGATTAATTTAGCTCTTGCTCCTGAAACCTTAGAACTTTTGACTCCTGATAATCTGGGAGATTAGCCTAAATTTCCAACAGTGATTGTTTGAGGTGCCAAGCTTTGATTTTAGAAATTTCTTGAATTTTGTGTATTTAACACTCTTTGATTTCCTGTATTGACTCTGCCAACTGCTTGATTACTATTGTATCTATTGATGTCTTCGTCATCTTGCTCATTGTTCTAACCAATATTTTGACTGATTTAATCTATTTTCTCATTCAATCCTTTGAGGTATTCCATTATCATCTTATTGCCATTTTTATTCTTATCCTCCTTTTGATCTTCTTCTTCCTCATCACTAGGTTGGTCATTACTACCGTCATCTTCCCCTTCATTATCATCGTTATCTTCTTCTTAATGAGATGCGCTATCTTTAGCTTTATCTCCTCCTACCTTATATATTGGGAACCATGTGTTATTCAACTCTGAGAACTTCTCAAAGACAAAACTTTCTAGCCCAGTGTATTCAAGCTCTGGCTTCTCTTGTAAATATGCTAAGAAGAATATATAGTCATAAATGTTGTGCTTATCTCTCTTGTGAATCTCAAACGCTTTTTCCTCATTGAGTTTGCTAGTTGCTCCTTAGTTTTCCTCGTTAGCCATCAAATCTTAGTATTCCTTCTCAATTTAATCTCTGTTCTTGCCACAAATCATACACTTATTCTCAATTGAATCTGTAATCTTGTTGTGTTCCTCTCTCAGAGCGCCGAAAGTATCAATAATGATACCTGAAATAATCTCAACTACTAAAATAACCAATATAACATTAAAGGTGTTATCAAATACAAATCTTCTTATACTAATCTTTTCTCCCTTATCCATATCAGCTGGATAAGATCTACTCATAAATGTACCTATTCCTCCATCATTTTTAAAGGTTTAATCAATAATCACTAGGAAGCATTAACTCAATGATGAGCATTCACCTTTTTCAAAGTCTTCAAAGAAAAAGATGTAAGAAATCATAGCAAATATGTACTGCAGACACAAGAATAACACAAATGTGTTAAATAATTCATATCTTGGTCTGTAAATAGCTTTTAGCACATTTTTTAAATAGGGATTTCTTATAATCATATCAATCATATGATATGAGTAGAAGAAAGGATGATACATAAATCCAACAAAAGAAAAGATCAAGTATCCAAGATAATACAAAAGCTGGAAATCTTAAATTGCAGAGACAGTGTAATCAAAAGCATCTTTAAGCATCTCTGTTTTAGTTCTAACTTTTACTTCTTCTCCCTAGTTTTGACTCTAGTCTTCGCCTTGTTTATTATTTTCATCTTCTTCATTCTTTTAATCACGGAATACTAATTGATAGTGATAAATGGCTCTCTTAGAGATAACTGTGAAATTGATGAAAATAGCAAACATCATCTAGAAGAATCCAAAGAATTTAAAAAGCGCTTCAGTGCTCTCTGTCGATAGAGAGAAAAATTCTGGTTCAAATAATCTATCTCTTCCATTTGCTGCTGAGAAAGAGTATAGGTTCATTGCATTAAGAATTAGAATTGTATAGTAGGCCAGAGATTTCCACTGTTCTGTGTGATATACAAATACTCCGATAAGTGGATAGTCAATGAAAAATTTCTTAAATTAATACTCGATCTTCATTCTTCTAATCAAGTCAGTAGAATTGTTGACAAGTACTTCTATTTTCTCTTTATCTCTATCAGTGGGAAGAGCATTGTAAAAATCAACTTTTTCCTCTTCAGAAATATAGGTGCAATATGGCATATAAGGAAAGTGAACTTATTCAATACTATTTTTTATGAGAACGTCTATTGAAGCAGAATTTGTTTTAAAGAACATTAATGCTTCTGTCATATTTTACTCTTGATTTTTAAAGTATTCAAGCCTAGATCTCTTATGCATTGTATCTTAAGTTCGGTTCTTCTTCATAAATTTCTTGTACAAGTGCTTTAAATTAGCTCCAATTTGCTTGAAAAAGATTACTGTATCCTCAAATCTGCTCATGAATAGATTTGAATTCCCTCTCTCTTAGTTTTATAACAAATCCATCAAATCATCGAGCTAGGAATCATTAGTCTTTTTATTCTCTGCCCATCTCTTCAGCAAGAAATAGAGATTGAAACCTACTTCAATAATGAGTTCTTCCTTAACTTCATAGTCACTTTGAGTTAGAACATGTCTAAAAAAGTTCTCTCTTGATAAGAATTTGTTATAATCCTTGCAGAATAGGAAATACTCGTACATAATGTTTTGCTTAATTACATCCAAAGGAATGGATCTCTTCATTGATAAAAGTAATGGATCATCAGCTGACCTTTATTCTAGCAAACTCAGTAGTATGATAGAGCACTAAAAATTATAATTAAATTTGGTGTATTATGACTTACATTAAGTTTGAGTTTTTGAATCATAAAGTTTGTTAATTAGAAATCAGTTGCTTCGATTACAACATTTTCTGACTTAGGTTTACCACTATCAAACAGATTAAAAGACATTTACGATCCTTAATTGCCACTAAGTCTAATTGATCTTCTTCGCTGACTGACTAATCCTACACCTTAGCTAGTCCTAGGCGACATTAAATCATGCATAAGATCTTTATCTTTAGAGACCTTTAAATCTTGAATTAGATTAGGTTTGATTGATAATATTTGGACTGCAATTTGATAAAAATTGGCATCCTTGATCCTTTATTAGTTAACATGGCATGGACCTTGCACATATTCTGCCAGTGAAATACAGCAATTTTAAGCATTTGAATAATTTCTCTTCGATAGGTTGATGTTAGAAATCAGTGAATGAAGATAGTTTACTGTCAATGAAACCATATCAAAATTCTTATCTGGATTCTACTAATTACCAATTAAGAGCTGCATCTTGGTGTTATGATTCTCACATAAATTTTTGAAGAACTTAAGAATCTACTTTTGGACGTTAATTTATTTATCATATGCTTTAGCTAGCTTATCAGAGAACACATTACCTTTCCTCTCATTTTTAAGGACTGCAGTTTATTTACTCTCAAGCTGTAGAGAATTTTCTTTAGTAATCTAAGCATTAAGTGCCTCATTTTCTTAAGTTTCGTGATTCATTTTCTGAAGTAAGGAGATCTCTTTTTCAATGAGATGATAGCATCTTTCAAATAAATTGATAGATTTTTCATTCTTAGTCAAATACTCTGTAAAGAAATCCTGAATGTTGTTTTAGGCACCATCAAGAATTCTATTTGAGAAATATAAAAGCTGAGGGAATATTTCATCAATGTATTCATTATTGTCAGCACACATCATTTCAAGGACCATTTTAACTGCACCGATCGAATTCAATTTTTCTTAGATTTAAGTTTTTGCTTCAAAGCCTTCTCCTTTATAAGATTGACCTTCATTTGTTAAATCGATAAATTGCGAGAACATTTCGACTAGGATTTTAACATCCACAAGCCTGTGAGTCTTACTCTAGAATTGATTCGAGTACTCAACCAATTTAACAAAGAATTGGTGATACTTTTGTTAATCCAATTCTGAGCCTTTATCATCAGCAGCCTTAAACTTTCTCAGTAATAGCTCGCAAGTTTGATGCATCTCTTTCTTAAGCTCTGTTCTAAGATTTTCATCGTGAAGAAGATTCCATTTAAATATTCTGAAAATCTATTCTTTCTTCTAGGCAATTTGATTTTGATTTATTCCTTAAATAACTTTGGTCATTCTGCGTTTTAATAATGACTATTTATTTTAAACTTAACTGCTTTTATCAGATTGTTATGTTGTAAGTTAAATACTAGTTGTGTCAATCTGATCTGTAACATCAGTCGGCTATCTCAATGGCTGTTTGAAGCTCTTAAACTTAGATTCAGCCTTAGGAGCAAAATTGAAAGTTGCGTGTTTAATTAAGAATGAAGATTGGCTCTGCATACTGGGATCTCTATGAAATTTATTTACTTGAGAATTGCTTTTAGTTGAGTATTTAAGACAGAACTTTCTACATATTTCAATAGAATCATTGATTAATTGATATTCCTCCCAGTTGTCAACATCTGTAATTGGTACGAAGCTTTCTATCAATTCCAAATCCTTTACTCTATGCTTAATAAAAAGCTGCATTTCTTCCACCTTGTCAAGTAATTCTTTTTAAGTACCTTTAACTTCAAAGAAAAGCTTGTAGATAATGACAATCAAAAAGGATTAAACAGCGACAAACTTTTTACTCACTATGATAATTTCCTCCTCAATCTTTGACAAAAGACTGGCACTCTGATTTCTTGCCAGAGATGAAAACTTATTTTCTTCTTTTCCATCCTCATTTCTCTATGTAATATGAGACCCAGTTGATTGATTATCTGGGTAGTCTGATTATTTTCCGTTCAATTTTTGCTTAATTTTTTCCACATTTTGATTGAAGAGCTCTTTAACAACCTTAAAGTAGTGCTCAATATCATGACCATTTTAGAATATTTGATAGAACTTCTTTTTAGTCATTCTCACATTATGAATCTTAAGAATTTATGATATTCCCTAAAAATCAATTTAAAAGCAAATAACTTACCTTGAGGAATTTCTCCATAATATTTAGATGTTCTGAGCAATTCAAATCGTGCTTCTTCAAGTTGCTACTGAGAAGTAACTACTAAATTTAGAAGAAAGCCTCTTCTTTTAGGATAAGATCTATGACTTAATCATTAATTTTAGCATTATCACAATTTGCTATGATATTTGAATAAACTTTCAGAATCATTGGTGCAAAAATGAGAGGCTTTTTGGGAAACTCTATAATCTTGTGAATGTATGATACCAAGTTAGTCAATTTTGGAATAAGTATGGTTGAGATGTTTTTTATTTTAAGATTGTTGTCAATTACATGATTCATCAAATCGAAATCAAACAAATGAATTTGAGAAATCATCTTTGACTGCATGTAATACTCTGAGTTAAATAGCAAGATGTCATCAAGATAATTAAGCAATACTCTATAATTTGTAAGTTTAAAAATTATTGACTTACTATTTAGTTGTTTTATTGTTGTAGATAAACTTAATAAGGATTTCATAGCATTTTTTATAAGCAAGCAAAGCCTTAAAAGAATAGATGATTCTCAAATTACTTTCATGAGATTTGTTAAAAGGTTATCCATTTAGAACCTTAGACTAGATGAATAGAGTTCTTATGCTTTCTTACCTGATTTCTCTATACCTCTTCATAAAGTCCATCAATATCTCATGACCTTATATTGCTAGGAAAGCATATTGCAAATCTTATTGAACAAAAGGTAATTAGTTATCCAGGTTTTCAGAAGCAAGCACCTTTAGATCTTCCTCATCCTTTACTATATTGATAGAGAATTAGGGGACATTTATATTGCTAGAAATGCTTAAATTCTTTGAATGGACTGGTCTCTTTGCACTGTATGGATTAAAAAATTCGGAAATCTCTTCGAGATAATTTAGGAATTAATCTAGCTGATTCAATTTTGCAGTAGCCGTTTTATTTGATCTAGAGAAGGCCAAATTTTAAATCAACTATTATTGGTTTTTCTGGTGCTCTTTTAGTTTCTAAGAATATTCTTGCTTTTTACTATGCAAATTTGATGAATTATGCTTTGAACTTCCCCTCAATAGTGGGGAAGCTAGGTTTTAATTCAAATCATCTAATAGTGAGGTATCTTATTCTTCTAAATTTCCTTTTTTACTTGAAGAGTCGTCTTCTTCTGGCATTTCCCAAATCTATATAAATTAAAGTTGAATAGAGTCTTACAGTTGTATCTTGAATAATCATTTTGCATTTTCTTAGTGTTTATTTTGACTACTCGATTTTAGATTTTACATTTTGCCTAAAGATTACTATAGTGTTTTGTAGATTTGAAAGCAATTCTTTTCTAATATTCAAATATCTAAACATTCCTCTTAAAGTCTCTTGTTATAATACAGCATCATTCGATTTTACAAATACTTCAATTAGGATGTCAAGAAATTAAGATTAATTTTAATTGCTCTTCTTTATCTCAATATTTTCTTAGGAAGATTTAGCACCTAAATATATTTTATTAACTCAAATAATTTACTTGACCCTCTGTTAAATTTTGATAAAATCATATTCTTAAAGTAGCTTTTAATAGATGTTGTCACTGTATTTTCTTTTACTTCTTCTTTTTATTCATTTTTTTCATCTTGCTATAATTTTTCTGTAGGATCATCATTTCTTCTCGGAGAGATAAAACCTTCTTCAGTTTATCTGTGAGTATCATCATTTTCAAACAAATTATCTTTTGTCATAACATCCTCATAGGAAGAATTATGCTTGAAGTTTACTCTTTTTGGAGAGGCTCTTTTTATGTCTTACTCGTCGATATCCAATTTTTCCTCCTCTTTAATTTCATCTTGTTCTGTCATGAATTCATCCTTAATTGGGCTTGAGAATCCAGCTCTTGTCTTTAAGGTATTGCTGTACCTCCTTAAGTTTTGAAGAAAGGCTTGATACATCTCCTCAATATCAAGAATCGTTTCGTTTTGTGTCCCACTTCCATCTTGATTGGCATTGATGATATTTTCCAGGAATGAATACTTTGAATCCTCACTCTTGTTAAATTGAATGAAGTCGATGGCCAGCCTTGACAAGTAAGGGAATATATAATACTTTTCAGGAGCTTTTATTAGTTGGTCAAGGTCAACATTCTCCTTTTGGATGAAGCTCTCCAATGATTGATAGAACATGTTGATGATATTTGATATAAGGTGATCTAACCTCAAATTAATAATCCATTAGAAGAACTTTATCATTTCTAGTCGAGCATTTTCCTAAAGCAAATACATCAAGGATGAAGTTATATATTTACCTATTAGGTTTGATTTTCATCTTCTTTTTCATATTCAGCAAATAAGTTTTGTTCATGATTTCTTTTCAAAACTCTCTCAACATAACTTGTGAAACTTTTTTCTATATTTAGCATTTTCCATGCAATAGGATTCTCACTCATACCTGATGCAGAATCTCCCAATGTCTATTGCAATACTTTCCTGAAAAATATTGATTTAAAAGTCAAGAATTTACTTCATTTTTTTGAATTGTTTTTAGAACTCTGAAATATTCAAGGTAGTTTCAGACTGTTGATCGTTTGTTAATATGCTTAGATGACTCTTGCTCGAACTGATTTTCTAATTTTTTTCAATTTCTTTCCTTCTTATGAACATTCCCCCAATGTCTTCAAAAATATCTGTTACATAAAGGTAGCCCTCATTAAAATCTTTCTGGAATACAAGATTTGATTAGATGACATACTAAGTAAGTCTCATCATTTCAAAGTCGAAGTCAGAGAAATTGTAAGAGTGTTGTATTGACATCAATCTAAAATTTTCTCTTGTTAGTTTCACCAAAGATCTCGTATCTTCATTACTTATAATGACTTAGCCATGAGGAGGGACAAATTCCTGCTTTTCATACATTCTTAAGAAGTAAGGACGACTATGAACATTATCATCATGATTTCTTAAAATGGTGTTCAGTATTCTTGCCAAACCTGCCTTGATATTGGTATCGAGTTTACTTTTTTTATTTGTTAGTAATTTCAGAAGATTATGGACAGTGGCTGATGAGAATTTTGAGCAAGGACAATCAAAATTCATGAGGTAGCAGAGATCTGCAAAGAAATATAATTCTAACTTGATGAGATTAGAGTCTTTGGTGTTTTCAAGGATAACTTTCGAAGTAAGCTTATTAAAGGTTATATCATGAATTCTTTTGATTAGGAAGCTTTCATCTTCGATAGTCTCAACTCTAAGTTCCTCATAATCTGATTCCATATGACTCTCCATTTCCTCATTTATTTACTCCTTCTTATCTTTCTAAGCTGAACTTGCAAATGATTATCCTTTCTTACCTTTTGATTTGGTAGTCACAAAAGACAGCAGGTTATTGTCCTCCTCCTTATTTTCATCATGATCACTAATTTTAGAACCGAAATCCATTCTAATTTCCTTAATAGGCTAAAGTAGCTTATTAGATCTCGTATTGGTATTCTTCTGCAGTTTGGATTAAGTTTCACTCCTTAGAGCCCTCAAACTTTAACTCTTATTAAATTTATTTTCATCAAATTTTTTCAAATCTTCTTGAAGTTTCCTTACAGACAATTAGTCTTCATTTTATATGACCACAGTTGATCTTTTTACTGATTGTTTTACTGCGCTGATAGGCTTTTGATTAAGTTTAAACTTTATTCCCTCTAATTAGTTGAAGAAAAAAAGATCATGCAATAGTTTCTGATGATAATTGTTAGGCTGACCCTTTGGATTGATACAGAAGCTTCTCAGAATAGAGAATAAATTGCTCTCTACCTTGCTTGTATTGTCTTTCTATTATGAAATTAAGATTATATTTATATATACATAAAGTTTTTTCATGAACTAAAAAATGATGTTATATTTGGTCTTCTCCTTATAGTCAGCATATTAATCACAATCCTAAACAAGATAATTAAATAACTAGAAGTCTTATTGCTTTCTAAATCCAGCACCAAACTAAAAAGTTGAATTATTTAAGAAAAGTTTTACGAATTTCTAGATATTTGGCACTATATCAAAGAATACGAACTCTTTAAGCACGAAGTTATCATGACAAATCAGCTTAAGCAATTCAAATATCTTCTCTGCAAGTTTGACTTTAGTCTCTCGGTGAACATCACTATTATGAGAAAAAGTTGAAGAATTAAATGACTCCTCATCACTTTAGACATCATTAAGCTCCTATAAGCTCTTGCCCGAAAAGTCTTTTCTCATATAATTTTCATCTGGCCATATCAAGTCAACTATTTCAATGATTTCATCAATTATGAAAGATTCCTTGTATAGGTTTTGATTGGTTAAATTAGGCTCTCCGTAAGGTTCATCGACATTAATCAGCCCACTAAGTTTATTTTAAACAAACCTTTTCAACTAGATGATAACTTTTAGGATTCTCTCATATTCTTGGCACTCTGGATTGTCCTAAAAATAATTGTAAAAAACTATCTTACAGCTTGATATGAATCAAAAGATTTGAGAGAATTAAAGCAATGATGGAGGAATTCGAATGAGTGTTGTTAATAAGAGTCTACTGTATAAATCTTAAAGGTATCGAAAAGATTTCCCTTATCCTCATCTTTCATAGATCCAAATTTGGAAAATTCGTATTTATTTTCAGTCCTATTAAACTTAAGATACTCTACCCACAAATATTCTCTTTCTGCACTAATTTCATGAATACTTGATCTTTTAACATTTAGAGAGCTCGAAAGAGTATTTTCCTCTTAGAATATTTTATAGAATAGACTTTCTTCTCCATTTTCATTTCTTGCACCTCCTTTGCTAAAAGCATTTAAATGAAGACCCTTAATTCTGACTTTACTCACTGCATTCTCCAAGAATACAGCGTCTCTATGATGAGGGGAAGCATAGACTTTCCAGTATGTATTGATGGATGCTCTAGGCTCAAAATGAACATTGACTGAGGCCTCATTGCCATAGACTTTAGGAATATAATCTATGAGTTTATTAAGCTAATATCTGTTTGTGCTTCCGAAAAATTAGCTAAGAATTCTGTTTTCTTTTCTCTTAATTGTTTAACTAAGATATAACTCAGATTCTATATGCTTGATCTGTATAACTTTTCCATTGAGATGCTTGAATATGTTCTCAGATCTATCAAAGTCTAGGGATTCGCAGATGCCAAAATGTAATGGAAGTTTTTTAGATTCCGAAAATAGTAGCTCAAGGTTGAAATTTTCGAATTTTTCTAACGAGGATTTCTTCTTAGTTGCAGACCTTTCAAGTTGAACTGGATCCTGAAATAGATATAGATCCTTGTTTAGAATCTTATCATATGTATATCCCAAAAAGAATTAATCGTTTTCCAAAATCTTTCCCTCTCCTTCTGACTATATCTTACTAGATGGTAGGAGCTTAAACATAGTCTTTTCTGATATATACGGAGTTAATTTCAATCTATATTGATAATCGGTTAACTGAAATATTAATAATATCTTAATAAGAATTTAGAATCCTACCTAAAATTCGATTATTTATCTGACAAACTAGGAGATGATATCTTCAAGAATAGTTAACTGTTCTCATGCATTATCATTACCTAACTTCCAAACTTAACATATTAGTCTATACATAAATAGATATTAATTGATGTGAAATATGTTACTTTTATATTCTTCGAAGACATCAAGATTGTACTTCATCTCTTCATTTAGGCTTTCAAGATATTCACCGTACTTGAACTAATTATGAGGATCAAGCTCCTTCTTATTTTTAAGTATCTTTCTAATTTTCTTAATGTAATTATGGTCAACTGCTGGAAGTATTCTGAAAACTTCTCCTTGTGACTTCAAAGCTGGAGCACATTGCCAATCTGGTATCTACTCTAGCTACCATCTGCTTGTTTCTTCACCATAAGGGATATTTTAAACAACTTAGGGCCTGATGGAAATTTCGACTCTATTTAATACTGGTGACAGTGAATGGATCACAAAGCTTTACTTCAGGTCTCCCAAATAATACAACTGAATCGCAGAACAATACTTAAGAGTCGCGTTTCTACTCTGCTACATTTGAATATTGAGATCCTCTTCTTGGAAAGGATTCTTAGTTAGGCTGCTCTTGCTTGCACCTAAATTAGTAATATTTAGTTGCGGCACTTAGACTTTATTCGTTTACGATCGGTATTCAGATGTGCTCTTGGTGAGCGTTGGCATTTAAGGAGCTCTATCCAGAGAGTTTTTGTTGTCCTCACCAGTCTCATAGCCAGCATTCTACATCTAATTATCATTATTGGTAGAATCATTTTGCCTCTCATTCAAAAACATTCTGGCTCCTGACCTCTTATTCGGAATATCCAGATTTGGCACCATATTAAAGTCTACCTTTTATTGCTTGCTTTTTTCAAGGAAAGAATTTCTCTTGCTCTATGATAGCTCATTCTTAGCGAGTGTGTTCCTTCTAGAATTATCATTTGATTGATCTATCTTGTTCAAAACTCTGCTAACTCTTCGCTTAAAGCTGTTAGTTTACATATTCTACTCATCCTAATCGTAATCCCCACCAAACATTATTTCTGCCAGAGGTCTATCATCTTCTTCCTGATTAATCTAATTTTGCTGATGACTGTCAGTAGTCGGCTTAAATTCTTATTGCTCTGTATCACTCTCATTAGAACTGAGGGTCTTAATAGTATTTTGCCTCATTGATTTGAGCCTTCTTACTGCATTTTAAAGTTTATTCGGTTTCTCTTCTGGACTTTTCTCTCTTTTATGATTGTTCCTTCCCTCCTGCTATCTTTTACCAGTTGTTTCGCTTGTTAGTTGTTCCATTCTTAAAGGAGATGATACTGATTCATCTAAGGTTGAAAGTTTTTTCATTTTAAATCTTTGAATTTGATATGATCTTAAGATTTAATATTGGGATTATATGCGTCTAATTATTAAATATCTGAATATGGAAAAATTATTTTCCTATCTAATTCTAGAATTTCAATCAAACGGGGTTTTGGGGTTTTGGGGTTTTGGGGTTTTGGGG